AAAAGCAAACAAAAAAAAAAACTCAAAATATCCTGGAGTCAATTCTTGATATTTGGCTTTTCAATGGAAGCACACACACAGAGGAAACAAGTTGGCAAAGTGTTTATTGTAAATTGTTTCAAATGGACACAGAAAAGACCATGTATGGAAAATAAAATATTTAACGTGTATAAAAAAGAACAGACATTGTACTCGAGCAGTATGGAGACATTCAGAAGAAGTGAGTTGCCCTCCACTGTCTGCAACTATTGGCTGCGCGCTGGACAGGAAGAAGCTTTTAGATCTCAGAAAAAACATCCTATGATTGTTTATAGTACTCGTGCTCTGTGATGTGACTCTTACAGAACAGATCATTGGCAGGACAAAAAGAGTTTGGCAATTTTAATGCCTGCATTTGAAAAGTATTTAGATATTATTGTTGAGTTGACAGACCCAGAAATCAATTTCTCTTCTTGCATAAATCTGGAATTTCTCCTTTCTGTGGATAATAAGTGCTTAGAAACACACATCACATGTGCAAGTCGCATACTACCTAGATTGATGTTATTCATATAACAGTTCAAAGCAAATATCATCATGTCCCTTTCGGTTTGCATGAAATTGGCCGCAGTCCAACACGTCAGAGTCAAGAAGATTGTTGTGCCAATGTGCTTCAACTACTAGCAGGCCACTGCATGCGTTTCCCCACATGCATCTCATCTCCATCCTGACAAGGACTGTTTATATGTGCTGACATGGAAAAACAAAATGGTGGAACATTCCCTTATTAAAAGCAGATAAACAGCATTATTCACTGACCGAATGAATGGAAATGAAGACCCAAAACATGTTCACTTTCATACGAAAATGAGCACACTAGAGGACATTAACAGCTAGTTGACTGGCCCTTATTAAAACTAGCAACGGAGTTGACATGCAAGCTTTTACAGTATACAAAAAAAAACAACTTTATGCTGTGGGATTCAGATCCACATATTAATATTAAAATTTGGTCCAGTTTTTCACAAGCATAGGCAAAGTTCATCCAATGATCAATTTCTTAATAAAAAAAATCAACCATTTTACAGTTGTATTTTGGCTCTGATTAGGCAGTTCATTCACTTACAGCCTGCATGTGAACATAGTCAGTGCCAGCTGCAGCTCGTGGGACATTACTGTACACACAATATTCACTTCAGTAACACTGCGGTAAGCTATCAACAAGTGGAGGTTTGGCAGCAGCTAGAACCACACACAGTCAGTAAAGGGACCACTCTGGGACAAAAACAAAAAGCGGACAGCCTCAGAGAAGCGCTGCAGACGAAGAACAAGGTACCGTACCAGTATAGAAACACACAAAAAAAAAGATACAAAAACATTTTCCTAGAAAAATATATTGTTAAATACACAAGACATGCATGTTAGAAATATATGACGGACCAAAGACAAAACTTCTGAAAACAACCACAAGCAAAGAAAAATACATGGTTAACCCTGTATTATCAGCATTGTCAACTTTTGTTGTTAAAATAAATTCAAGTTTCTTTTGTATCTTTTCAACACTTCATTGTTCAAACGGGCAAAGAATGAAAAACAAAAAGACAAAACCAGGGTTTGAAAAAGTCTGACTGATCAACAGTTTTCTCCAGCGCAAAAGTGATTTGTTGATTTATCGATAAGTGGATAGAGAATTTGCTGGTTGGAGCTTAAAAGTTTAAGGATTTCACATAACAAACTGAATACCAACAGATCAAAAATCACAAATCTTAAGCAATTTTAAGACATCATTTGGGCTCTGAAAACTTCTGATAAGCATTTATTGATAGCTTATTTTCCATTACTGTATTGATCAGATGCAGCTCTGATATGATTCGGAGTAACATGTGTCAGGATATCAGGAGTTAATGTGTATTCTCATTATCAATGTATCCACTTTTCAAACTTGTTTACTACACAGACTTGTATTGACTGTTCGGGCGGTGGAGTGCTGTGACTCACAGCTGGAGAACACTAACTTTTTCAACTTTTAAGCTGCACAGTGCCACATTTCAAACTAATTCTCTAAAACCTCCAAAAGTACAACAGCTGGAGCTGCGGAGTGAAAAGTAAAAGAAGAAAGGGACATAATGTGTTTGTTGGTTGCCACGATTGTCTGGACTAATTTTGGGATGACAGGGGTAATTTGTTATTCTGATTGATTCCTCTACTATCATTTGTTACATAAGCCACTAAAGATATGTTGTGATGCTCTCAACGTGACAGCACAGATCTGATGTATACCGTACCAATACGATTCACAATCACAGGGAAATACAACTCTACACCACAATCATGTGCTATCAGGTCTTAAAACTGAACGCATGCAGTCTGCTTGCCTTAAGTCACTAAAAAGTAAAAGGATATGTTAGCAAAAACATGAACAGAAACCATATATATCTCCATTTTTAAAACATTTGTATTCAAAATACATTAATTATTTTTTTCAAGTCAAACCTATGAAATTGTCTTTGGTCAAGAAAATATCTTAAAATCTACAGGCTATAAATGTTATTGTACAGGAATGAAACATAGATGTACTCGAGATCATGTAACTGATCAAAATGGGGAAAGCTGATACCAAGTATCTAATCATTTTCCATTTGGAGTGCTCCAAATATTTAAAGTGCTTCTGCATTATTATTCCCTCAGCATTTAATGTGAAAGAAACATCCATCAAAGTAAGGCAGATCGGTTTCATCTATTCAACTGTCCTCTGAAAATATATACACATTTGTTCAGAAGAGGAAGGACACTAAAAAGGAGTAGAGAAAGATAAAAGGGGCACAAATAGAGGATGAATCTCCAGAAAGATGATTATCAATCAACTCAAGACAAGTGTCAGAGCAAAACCTTAAAAGATTGGGAGAGCATCATCACAGCTGTTGATATAAAACCAGGTGAATAAAAAAAATTAGCAGCCTATTCACACACCATCTAATGATGTCTTTTCCACACAGCTGTAGACGTAAAAGAGGACATAAATTAAGACAAGGAAAAGAGTCTATAGGAACCTGCAATGCAGAGGGAGGGGAGGAGGAGATGAGGCGCCAAACAAAACGACAACACCTAAGGGTTTGTTCATTTCGAGGACCGAGGAGAGATCCAGGTAAAGCTCCTTCTGGTTCCCATTCTTAGGCTGTCACTGGTGTAGTGGACTCTTGATTTCTGGAGGTCAGGGTGTATAGTTCGTTCTTCACCTTGACACACAGCGGGTGCACTTGCTGGGACAACTACCAGGGCTCCTTTAGGACCGTGTTTAGGCTCTCTGTTATGTATGAACACCTGCTGCTTCAGGCCACACCGCCCTGCCCTGGTTAGGAGGTTTTCCCTACGATCGGGTTGTCCCTGAAACAGAAAGAAAGGTAGCTCATCTTTCTGTGAGTAGGAGCAGTAGTGTATATTGCAGCAGTAATAATGTGTGCATGTGTGTTACAGTATAGATGTAACATAAAGTGATAGCAGTCTGGACTTACAGGCTCCCGTACTGTGCCATGTTGTCGCTCCTGATGTTGTGCTGCCTTTGAAGTTCTTCCATGACGTTTCGGAGCTGTTTGAGTGTCTGAAAGGTCTCTTTGGGTTCCTGAATGGTGAATTTTGAGTAGTCCTCCTGCTCCCGCTGGGGGCCCTGGTACACTGCCATACTGGCACATGCATCTATGGAGAGGAAACACATCATTATACAGTGCAGCTCAGAAAGTGTTAACGCCAGATGAACAGTGAAGGCTTTATGGACATTTTTATGCAAAATAAAAACAGACATTGGACAAGTTAACATAAGCCGGATCTGTAACATAGACATATTCACATCTTGGATTAGTTAAGATTCAGATCTACATATTAATGTTTCAACTTTGTCCGACTGACAACTTCTCACAAGCAGAGGCTTCATCTTATAATCAATTTCTTAAAATCAACCATCTTACATCTGTATTTTGGCTTCAATTAGGCAGTTCATTCACTTACAGCTATCAACAAATGGAGGTTTGACAGCAGATGACCACACACAGTCAGTAAAGGGACCATTTGGGGACAAAAACAAAAGAAAAAAACCTTTTTGGCTGCTTATTGCCTCCAGTCTGGTCTTCATGGACTCCAAGATATATAGCAGAGATATAGCAGCTGAAGGAGCTGACTGACTTTATTCCACTGTTTTATGCTATGTTGTTCCATAATGAGACAACTATGTATAAAAAGAGTATTCCTTCACTATTTACCTGACTGTCTATAATGCAATTCTACCATGCTGATTTAAACCCCCTTGAGATTAGCGATTTATCTATGTAACCACAAACACCCTTAAAACTGAAGTCATCACATTTACCTCGGTCACCTCCCTAATTGCTATCACGCTGGAGTATAGTCGAAAAGACAAAAACATATACGTCACAGATACATTAACACATACGTGTATATAAATCACTATCACGGGTCTTGATTTACAATAATAATGTCATTCTCCAACACCCAATAACCAGTGCTATGAGGCAGTTCCTGTGACATTTGGCAACCAGTGTAATCCTCAAATAATAAACAGATTATCTCATGTACGAACACTGACCCTCCATGTTCTGGAGCTTGGTGTCATTTGAGGAAAGGAGGGAGAATATTCTCTCCGTTTCCCGGTCACAGTCTATGTCCAGCTGCAGGTTGGCCACCACGACGCTGAAACAGGACAGAACATAAGTAAACGAGGTGTCAAAGGCAGAGACAAGAGGAGGATGTGATATTTTAGTTTGTTAAAGATAAAACAGAAATCCTGAGCTCTGCATGTATTTTCTGTAAGCTCTATGTATTAAATAAATAACAACAAACACAAGTAGGAAACACAAAGACAGTAGAAGTAAACAGCGAACTTTTAACCTGCAGGGTGAACAGTGACTGGACAGATTAAAGGGAGAAATGTGGCTTTTCAGATTCTGCATTAAAGTGAAAACAGCTACAGTAAAAAAGCAAAGCCATCCACAAATTCTTTAAGTTTCTTTTTAAACTGATGATTTATTTTAGTTGAAAATGGCATCAGTGGTTTTGCTGAGACATGTTTTGCAATTGTGATTTTTGTGATTTGCTGCTGTAAAACTAATGTTTGAAGGGATGTTGGAAAGAAGCCACGCTGAGGTGGAAAAGTAGATTGAAAAAACAAAAACACAGAAAGGCCAAAAGCATTCCTTTACAGTAATGAGGGTCTGCTGAACATTTTCTGCTCATTTTCTGCTTTAGTACATACTTCCACTCAAACAATTATCAAATAAAGTGTGGTTTAGTTCCTACAAAGCTTCCTGGACAAGTTGCTACAGTAGTTATGGGCTATTTGTCAAATGTTTCAAACGTAATGTTAGTGTGGCTCTTTGCACGTGTGCCAATCCACAAAAACTCATCTGTTTATGGTCACAGACGGCAGAGCAAATGAGGATGATCCAACTGTGGGAGCTTTCCATTTTGCCATTTTAGAGAGATTCTCAAAATCTACTCTTTCTAGACAACGTGCCTGTTTTCATGACTCTCAGCTCTGGTCTACATGGTTGGTCAAATTTACCACTAGTGGCAGTGTTTCAAAGCAGCAGTGAGCAATTTTATTAAGTGTTTATTGTGATGTGCAACACATGTCCCACAAAACAGCAGCAACAATGCAAAACTACTTTATAGATGATAAATTCCTGGTCCTGGTGGTGATGATGTGGGCAAAGACTCACCTTGTGCAGGGCTTACAGCCCGGTGCGTTGTTACTCTGGCTTTTGCAGCACTGCCAGGCTCCACTGGTGTAATTTGACGGATGGAAGGTGGCCAGGCGTCCCTCGTTGCAGCGACTGACCTGGCCCAGGACCTCCAACCACTCGCTGGCTTCTACACAGTTTCCTGCTTGCACGTACAGAGGCTTCTCAGAGTGGACCACCTGAAACATCTGACACAAGAGAAGAGGAGCTGTTTAAGAGCCAAGGCACAGCAGTGTTACTGCTTATCAATTTCCAGGTCATTTCCAGGGCACTTTCAACATCCTACAGTTTTTATGGAAAATACTAACAAAACGGGTGTGTCTATGCTTACAATGAGGGCAGCCCTTACATATGTGATACTTGTAACATTTCAACTGTAACAACCTGAGATTTACTATGTTTCACATTAAAAGCTGATCATTTCCAGGAGATTTTGTTTAAATGTGTCATTCTTGATACTTGATAATGTCTGAAATGTTTCATGCATTTTCCAGGCACAGGAGGAGCACAGAGGAGTGACAAACAACTTCCAAACGGACATCCAAACCATTCACACACATTTAACTGGACAGTCAGCATAACCTCATGAGACTACCAAACACAATAATTCATCATTTGTTTGTTTCAACTTGGGTCAACTGGCTCTGGGACAATGTTTATATTACAAAGGGGCCATATTTCAAGTGATGATCGGGTGTCTGAGGGGAACTGGCTTACATTTTTGCGGTTAAAGGCACTTTCATCCAGTTTCTCCACCGCCTGAATATTTTTGACATTGATGATGCAGAGGGCCTCTTTTCCTGTAAAGCAGAAGGCATTCTTTCAAAATTATGTTAAGAAAAATATACAGTGACACTAAGAAGTATTAACAACTTATATAATATATAAGCTGTTTGTTTTGAACAATGTGCCCCCTGTAAAATTAGACAATATAAGAGGCTGTAAGGGAGTTAAGGCATTGTATTTTTATGGCAATTTTTAAAAGACATCTACTTAGACTATCAGTGTGCTCCAAACTATCTATATGTGTTGACCAAGGTGTCTCATAGGTCACACAATATAAAAGCTATTGAATATGCTATTAATGAATATATGTATTTACTTGTGACCACCGTACTGTATTTCTTTCTATGAAATAGTCCGTACATCTGTCCAGTCACATGTGCATGTAGAGAATAAGTGCAATACACAGTATTTTATACATATGCTGGCTTTCCATTAATAAAAGTTTTTAATATTCATTTACAACACAACATTTTGAACATCTCAACTTTTAGCAAATAAATCCAACCAATAAAGTGGCACCTCCACTATATGTAAGATTGGAAAAGTCTTTGGTGACATCTGGTGGTTAAAAATGTAGCATAGCCTGAGCCATCTCCTGTTGGTTTAATGCTGCACGTTCGAGGTGAAACTGTGTTTGGTTGGCGTATGAGATGATAGAAACTGGTCTCACCTTTATGTTTGTGGTAGGAGAGCTCCCTGTTGGTCACTCTGAGCCATCGCTTTTTAAAGTTTTTCTTGCCAAGGCGTTTTCTCCCTTGGGCACGTTTCTGTACCTCCCTGTAAGGACACACACAAGATGGAGGTTCAAAGTATAAACCATGTTTCACCGGAAGTATGCAAATAAAAGACCAGTACAATTTAATTCTATTTTATTTTATTTTTTGCAAAATAAAATGTTTTTATACTGAAACAAGGCTCCAGTTACATTGAAATATATCTTATCAGAATTTCAAGCTTTTTTCCAGGGCTCTTCTGTGTTTTCCTCCCTTACAGAGTCTAGAGAGGAACCATGCATACATTATCTCACCATAAAAAGATAAAACATGCTTTTCCACTTTGGCTTGGGTGTGAGAAAGCTATCCAAAGGCGTAGTCTCGGGCCGGTTAAGGAGCTGGGGGGGATTTATTACTGAAAATAAAATACTAACTAAAGAAGGGAGACTGTACTTCTCTGATAACTGCTGGGAGGAGGTTAAAGTAAAGTATTTGAAGCTTTCTTTAGCCTTGGTTACTGATGTCAGCGACTATTAATTTGTTGAATAAATAAGTAGGTCTACTCTACATTAAAGACATGAACATTTTTCTGCACAGACTGCTTAAAGTTTGTAGGGTAGAGTGGTAAAAGAAGCAGCAGCCATCAGTATAATGATCCTATCCAGGCTCATGATGAACACTCACCCCTCCTTGAGAACCACTGCGTCCTCCAGCCCACTGGACTCCTTGCTGACATTAGAGGAGATCTCATCGAGAAACTTTTTAACTTTTTCGATACACTTTTCTTCTTGGAATGATTTGAAGAAGTCATACATGTAGGTTTCTTTAAAACTAGACTACAAAAGAGAGAAAAGATATAAACAACATAGTTTAAAACGCTGCATATGATCAATTACACAATACATACGCTAGACTATATGTAACACTTTACAGTAATCCTCTAAACGTATTCTCGATTCAGCCCAGACTACAGTTCCATCAGTCTCACAAATGCTTTCATCAATAAGTAATGACTCCTCTTACTTTGCTTTAAGTAGCAATTTCTCATGTTTGCTGTTAATCTTACCAGTTTTTTTGACAAACTACCCCAGCTGCCCAGGGTCTGGATTGTTTTTGAGATGAGTGTGAGTGTGCGAGAAATCTCAGGATCCTAGAATTAAAGAAAACGTACAATGACGACAATGTACTGTACAGGCCACATGTCAATTTGCTCTCCAGAATATTTATAGAATGGTGAGTTATGGTGCCGGACCCGTGCACTTACAGGATGGTGGGAACGGAGCTGGAATGAGTGCGGAGAAAGAACAGCAACGGCAAAGAACCGCAGGAACACAAAGCTGCTAACGGCTGAGTATTGAACATGTGGGTCAGCTGTGGAGAGAAAGAAGATGCTAACAACTGAGTCTGGCTTCCAAAAACAAACTAATTTAACCAATTAGCAAGTCTTACAAAGCATACAGTATGTATGTACATACAGAGAGTGGTCAGAATATAACTACTGTAAGATGAAACTCAAGATTTGGCTCCACCTGGTGGTTGACATGTATATAAACCCATTAACACACTGTAAAAGCTCTTATATTTAATCTGTTAAAGATTAAACTAATCTTTAAAAGATTAAACCAACTAATATAAACCAAGCTACGGATATAGAGCTGTAGTAAAAGCCTTTCTCTGACTAAGTGGCTGCAAAAATGAGACCATAACCTTTAATACAGCCTCTGGCATTTACCTGGGAAACGTTTGCAGGCCAAGTGTCTCAGTGACCTGAAGACATCACACATAAGTGGGGGACAGCTGGAACTGGACTGGGTGATGGAGGAAAAGACTTTCTGGACGTAACCCTGAAGGTTTTCCTGCAGAGGTAAAAAAAACCCATTAGTTTACATATATTTGACATAGAGAGGATACCAAGTATCTTGAAGGTAAAGGCCGATGAAATGATACAGTGGAAGTTTAAAATGTGGAGAGACAAGTGCATTTACCTTGTTGACCTCCACGTTGTCACCTTCCTTTAGTTTTATGGGGTCTATCTCACATGTTTTGTTGGATTCACAAATCTATGGAAGATTAAAAGGACAAAAAAAAAAGGCTTAATGTATTAAATGAGAAATTAACAACAAATGAAATCATGTTTTCCTGTTTTCTTGAAGGACAACACCAGAAGATGAGTAAGAAAACTAGTAAGTAATTTAATAAAGACCATAAAGACAAAATATGAAGATGATGAAGAATACAAAATGGCACATTATGCAGATGCAAGTAGACCAGTAGAAAAAAGGCCACAAATGAACCCACTAATCAGAAAAGTATAACTTTAATTCAAACAACTCATTAATGCAATCCATTTAGATAATTTATTACTGAAAGAGGTTTTCAACCAACTCATCCTGTAAGAACTTCAAACCTACCAATTACATCTGTACATCTGCTTGTTTGTAGTGGAAAGGCAGCTGTTTCAAAGTTTTCCATTCCCATACTGACCTCAGTGACTCATGCCCATTCTGGCATCTATACTGAGTGTGTGTGTGTGTGTCCTTGTTGCTCATACCTCATCTATTACAGGCTTCAGGGTAACCGCCAGGTAATTCTTTCCCACAATCTTCATCATGTCATCAATGCAGCGTGTTGCCAGTGAGTTGCCACGGAATATAGTGTTAGCCTCCCTGAATGGACAGAAATATTCCAACAGACATTAAAAACACTTTTAACCACTTTTTTGACAAAAGATCACAGTTGTTTCTGTAATTATTTTGGACCAACTGAGATAATCTTCATTAAAGCACTCCTTGTGTTTCAGCATCTAAGAGGTGTGACAGTCCAGGAAAGTTTTTAAAAAGGGAAAAGAAAACTGTTTTTATGAGTTGGGTTGTATTTTTGTAGTAATGGTCATCGTTCCTTCTTCAATTTAAGCATCTGGGTATGACATTTTATGCACCATCCTAGTTTTAAAGCAGTGCTTCCCAACCTTTTCTATCATTGAG